TATGGTTGGAGACCAAGGGCGGAAAGCGGAGAAGCTCTCAGGCCTTATAATTTTATAGAAAAAATTTTCAACTTAATTCAGCTAAGCTTATTGAAAACTAATGCAATGTCCTTCAAAGTTTAAGACTTTTATTAAAAATAAAAGAATCAAAATACAAAAGAAAAAAATGATTGTGCACGACTCATAATATTTGATTTATTTAATTATGAGATTAAAGTAAACACAACTGAATTTCGACGTGACTTTAATTCACAGTCGCAGTGTTAAGGCTTTGCACGTCAATCATTTGTCGCTTAAAGTTTTCATTTAAAGATGTCATTCCCAAATCGCTGAGAATTTCTTCTACGATATTTTTTCTCCCGCCATTTTTATAGTGCTTACGGATCGCGGAAAATACGTTATGCTCATATAAAGGGCGAGGATACCCGTGTTCGCATAACGTAATATTTAGCGAATCGACATAATATAGAAGAGTGCGCACATACTGGTATGACATGAGCTTTTCCATCAGTTAATAAAAACTAAGATCTCATGAAAAGTAAACATAACGAAATGCAAGTTGACGAATTATAATTGTAGTATGTGTAAATGTCATAAAGAGTTGACATAATGTAAAGGAAAGTTAACACGATGCAATAATAGTGTGGGTTAATGTCATAAAGAGTTGACATAATGTAATGGAAGGTTGACACAATGCAATAGTAGTGTGGGTTAATGTCATAAAGAGTTGACATAATGTAATGGAAGGTTGACACAATGCAATAGTAGTGTGGGTTAATGTCATAAAGAGTTGACATAACGTAATGGAAGGTTGACACAATGCAATAGTAGTGTTCTGCTATAAGGCAGTGACGGCGTTCCATACGGGACCTACATTTTCAAGGTCATATCCGAAAGACCCGTGGCTTTCACTTCTAGTGCCGAGCGCTTGGCAAAGGGAAACCCGTCACTGCCTTGGATGGGTGACCGCTTCACGTTAGAACTCGGTGGCAGCGTAGACTCGCTCTGGTGTCCTGCTTCAGGAAGCTCTATGGCTAGGACTTTGTGTCCAGGTACTGGGAGCGCCGGGATCCCGTAACTGAAGAGGCCCAGACACTAAGAGAGAACTCATGTGAAGCTTCGGGTCGAAGCTTCCCTGAGCGGGGAGAAGTGTAGTGGGGACAGATATAGGAACTTATACTGCCTCGCCAGTGAGCTAGCTTTTCTGTGATGCGGTCGAGTTTCCTCATTTCAGGCAAGTCAAACAACGGCTGAGCCTGTTTAACCCTTGAAATGGGGTGACCGCTTCACGTTACAATAAAATGAAATTAACAAGTAATAGAAATGAAGGAATGAATAAAAGAAAACAAGAAGCTCTGCCGCCAAAAATGCGACCCCCCCCCCCACGTCCCCGCCTCCCATATGGTTATTATCGCAAAGTCCATTTAAATTGGCTCATTAATAAAAAGTGCTTAACTCCTTATATATTAGTAAAAAATAGGAGGTGCACATCGTGAAATACCAATAAGAGGGGGGGGCAGTTTCATCAAATTTTAATCTACACGTGGATCAAGACCTGTTGAGGATAAGATGATTTGTGAAACGTAACAAACAGACGGACGCACGGACATACCGATTACATATATACCGCTACCACTTTTCAAGCGAGGCCTTAAAATGAGCATGAATGATTGAAAGTAGCGATACAGTGTATATTTCCAAAGATTGCTAATTTGACAACGGGGAAGACGCTATTTTCAACTTGAAGCAAGTCATAATTGATAAAGTGAATCGGGGCAGTCAGAGAGAAAAAATCGCCAATTTACCTTTCAGTCCAAATTTTCGGTTTAAGTATATTGCAGATACAAAAGGCGATCAGACAGTTTTAAATGAGCTTGATGTAAAAAGTTATATTTGGAAAATACTGAAACGCAAAAGAAACGCAACACCCAACTTTAGGGGGAAATAATTGTGTAAAGAAAAATTATAATTTTTTAAACATGTAAAATACTTCAATTTGGTAAAAATCGGTATTTAACGGTTGTTTCGTATTCGCGTCGAAATGAGTTGAATTTGACTCTGCTTAACGGAAATCAAGAGAAGTACTGGAAAAAAAAGAGCCAGTTATGTAAGTTGGGCGATTTCTTACATGAATCACGTTTATATTCTGATGAAAAAATTATTTTAAAACTATCAATATAAATGATAAGACACTGAAAGTGAGTTAGTTAATCCTAATATCACGAGTCCAGTTTTGTCAAAATCAGAATTAATCTGGTACCGCAGCTGAATGTAAACAAACAGGCTATAATGAGTTGTTTCATTTTACTCGTTATGCACGAGAACTACTTAAACACTGGTTATCAAAAATCCTTATGCTAATGAACTATGTTCTTTGACTTATGAAGTTTTCAAAGCAATATGGGAATTACTAATGTTTATTTTATATAGATAAAACTTCGTTTTATTTTTGTTGCTTTATCTAGCGTTTGTATTATCTATATAAAGCGGTTGAGAGTAATTTGAACTATATTTTTGCACGTAACTTTAAAATGGCGACTATGGCTGTCAATAATCACATTTTGAACAGGATCACATAAGCCGGCAATTGCTCTTTGAGCAATAAGCCCAGCTAACGTGTGCACATGTTTAAAAATATTTGCCAATATGTACTTGCTTTAGGGTTTGGCAATTTAAGTAATGCAGTAATATTTCAAAAAAAAATCTCCTTTCGTTTGTTACGATGCTAAAGCCTCTTGAAAATGGCTTAGTTGCACATTCCCATATGCTATAGCTTCAAAATCTCACAGTAAAGGTGGAGAGTTGATGATGCAAAAATACACTATATAACGCCTCAACGGGGTCTTACTTATCATATGCATAAATGATAGTCCTTGGACCGGAAGTCCAAGGGTTACTACAATGCACTGAGTTAGAGAGAAATTCACATTAAAAACCCAAGTGAAAGAGAAGTCTTCAGTGATAAGGATTTAAGAGGAAACATCAAAAAGCTAAAAATGGAATTGAATGATTTTGCCATACACACTTTAAACAAGGGGGGGGGGGTGCGACTTGGTACCAAATGTATGTATCTTCCGTGAAGCCATGTGCTATATCAACTTTAAAGGGGACCCAAAGAAACAAGGAAAGGAAACAGTTTTTCAGGAATTTAACTACACTGTACATTGGGCATTTTTGTTACTGCCCGTTTTTGTTTGTATCGAAATAACGTGTAGATTATGTTTGGAATTAATTTTTAAAAGTGATAGAGAAATTTTTATATACCTAGAAAATATTTCTCCAAAAATTATAATGGGAAAGTAACAACTATTTATCTACTATTTGTACTTGCTTTTGATAAATTGAATTAGATTTATTTTTAGAACGTTCTGTATTTTAGATACAGACTAGTTGGCTAATGGAACACGATATAGTACATACAGGGCTAATTCAGAACGGAGAGTAGCTCCACCCACTGTGGTCCCGTTCTGTTTTGCTAATACAGAACAGCAAACGGCTCAAAGAGAAACACCGCTATCATGTCACAATCCATATTTACGTCACCAGTAATGACGTGCCCCACAGTACCCAACAACATGAACACGGTGTGGGATTACGTTTTAGATGCTTGATGTTGAGGCAATCTAGAGTTTTTATTCCCCGTAATCGAAGATTTGGTGGTGTGTAGTTTGCTGTTTGTTGTCCGCAAAAAAAATTGACATTATTTTTTACTAGGATTGTTTATGGCTTTCGTATTTCCCAGGTGTATTTATTCCCTGAAAAAAGATTTCTTTGGTTACCATCAAGTTTAACCTTTTGACCTTGGAGTTTAACCCTATCTTACAAAAGAAAAACTTTATAATCTTAGTCATAACATTTAAATAGTTGGTGCTAGGGCTTTCATACTTCACATTGTGTTTTGTTACATGAATTATCAATAGGTAAAGGTATCTTTAACCTTTTGATATTGACCTTAGAGTTTGACACACTTCGTAATAAACCCAACCCTTGACCAAAACTTTTGAACAGTTGCTGTAGTACAAGGGCTTTCATATGAGTGTATCCCATATGAAAATACCTTCTTGATACCAAAAATTTTGACCTTGAAGGTTGACTGCATTTCAGAAACAACTTTCAATTTCGTTCGATCTAAGCTGTCATATAACGTTCCACAAAACTCTTATTTTTTTTATAGAATTTAAAAGGTTCGAAGCAATTTTCAATGTGTTATTTTAAGAAAAGAAGATGTGGACTTACACTTGAAATATGTTAGAATACATGTACAGGATCTTTTTCGTGGTTAAGAATTTTATATATACATGTTATATAAACCATGTCAGGGGCGTCGCAACACTTTTTCCCCCAACCTTACCTATACCATAGGAAATGTTAATTGAAAGCCTGGTTGCCCCCCCCACCCACTTTTAGACTTTTAGTGATGTACCAAAAATGTAGCATTAGAATTGGTACTGAAAGAAGTTGTCACTAAGATGATTAAAATACCCCCCCCACACACACACAAGAAACAGGATTTTCGACTTTGGGCAACTTTTTCCTTTTTTTTTGGTTGTCAACTTTTTTAGGTAAGTAAAATTTTTTTTCTCTGGCTGGCCCCAAAGGTCAATTCCTTTCTTGGCATATTGATGTTAATTGTTTCTTAATCAAACGTGGTGGTTTAAGAACATATGATTCGCAATTTCCATAATCACAGATCCGAGCCCCTATTCTGCCGTCGAAAATACAAATAAAGGCTTTCCTTGACTTTTACAAATAGTCTATTCAAAACTTTTAAAGAGACACTGTAAAGTTTGCTATGAATAAAAATTGAACTGTTCATTTATACAAGGAAGTAGTCATCAAAAGAGACATATTATATTGAAAGCTTTTCAGTACAGTTGATTTCCAGTAATTACAGGCGAGACATGTAATAAGCGCCACCTTATGGCATTGATTCTACGGAAGCTTATTTAGGACCTATCAAAAAATATTTTTGAATTCGATATAACGAATTGCCGAATTTGTTTTTACAAATTGTGGTTTTTTAATAACAATGTCTTTGAATTTGTTATGATGAATTTAATCTGTTAAAATAGATTTGTTAAATTCGTTATAATAGATTCAAGAGAGAGAGAGATTTGTTATAACAAATTAATTATTTAAATTTGATTCAACAAATCGTTATATCGAATTCATTCAGACATTGTTTTCAAGAAGACTTTATTGTTGGGATTTGATCTAACAAAATTTGATATAACTGATTTTTTAACCGATTTTGCAATTGATAGGTAGGTTGACGTCGTTGCAGTGTGTTTTTGACGTTATGATAATCTATAGCTCATAAAGAAAGGGGTAATAAAAATATTATTACAGAAAAAGTAATAAACATACACTCTTGAAATTTAAAACAAAGAAATTTGAGAATATCTCCAATATTTTGATTATGTTTTCACGTGAATCCATTGTGTACGTCATATTTTGTAATACTCAATAAAAATAGTAAAATTTGCCAAATTTTTGCATTTTGAGATGCCCCCTCTGATAACACGACGGTAGAATTTTGTGTTTCTTACATATATTGTATAATATAGTATAACTCATCAAGTATTATAGTTTGAACAAAATGTGTATTGTAGTATTTGTATAATTTGCTTTAAAGTGCTAAAAATTGGCATTTTCCTATATAATCCTATAGTAAATGTACCTGTATTTTAAGACGGTCCCTTAAGAATACCTGGACGGTAGATTTCCCCCAAACTTTGCATGTACTCTGAAGTTAATGTTAAAGTTATATATGGTATAAAAATGAATAGTTTCGCTATTGTAGTTTTCACACAATAAAACTATAGTCGGCCCCCTTAAACGAATTAAATTCGTTATAACAAATTCGACAATTCGTTATATCGAATTGAAATATAATTTTTGATAGGTCCTAAATGGGCTTCCGTATTGATTCTTATCGGTTGCTAGGTAACATAGCTTATCAATATTCTAAATGCAGCAAAAATGCAAGTAAAGAAAATAGACATATTTCTTGAGTGTTTGGTCATTTTTTTTCTGCTTGTTGCCTATAGGTTGCGAAAAAAGCACGCGTAAGTAAATTCCAAGTTTCCTCTCCTAGATGCTGATTGTAATATCATAAAAGCAAGTTTTTTTTCGGAATATTTAAATAAAATTTTCTTTTCTGTTAAAATAAATGCACAAAGGGGCGTTTCGATCTAATATTCTTTATTGGACATATGAAAATATGATGGATTCCTGTAAAGACTGAATTAAGATATTGTAAAGAAAAAAAATTACCCATCAATTCCAAAGATTTGTCTACAGATCACATTGGCATCTTTATAGTCCCAATTGTCACCACATACTGTCCCCCATGTTCCATTCATGTAAACTTCAACTCTTCCTTGGCCTAAAGAACTTCCGTTTATGAGCCGAACACCTGAATTATATAATTATTATATATTACTAGAAACTCTTATTGCTAGAGCAACAAAAACGGTCTTGCGTTCTCCTCTATTTATCTGTATGAATGAGCTTTTATCTGTGTTAGAAAAGGCATATAATATAAAATGATTACAGGAAAACAAACGACCGGAGGTGTAACTTACCAAGATTCTCGACGTTACTTAGACACGTATATATGTAGTATTAATAACATTTATAAAAATCATATTCAATTTTTTATCACTACCTGTGACGACCGGAAGTGACGGCAGACGTATTTTACCCTATATCTGTTGCCCAATTTTCATTTATTATTCATATAAGTTTAGTGTCTTGATCTGTTACAGTTACAAGAGATCTCGTAATGTTAACTTCTCATTTTGAAGAGAAGAAATCACGTGACCGGAAGTAAATTTTAAAAAAGATATTCGAGGTTACTCTAAACATTTCAGTCTGAATAACATGTCCTAAGATCATTTCAAATACTCTTTTTAAAAATATATTTATTGGGTAGTATACGATACTCAATTTATGCAGTTTTTCTCTCATAAGTTGATGTTTTTGTTCACAGTGGGACTGACATATTTCGAAACTACAAATAAGATGCTATAATATAAAACAAAGACAGATTCCAAAATGAAAAGTTGAAATTTTTGAATTATTTGCTCTCTTCTTGTACAAACGGAAGTGACGGCGGACGATCTTTACCCAAATGGATTTGCCTACTCATCAAGATCTACTACTCCTACAAGTTTGGTGTCTTAATCTCTTACCGTATACGAGATCTAGCTATGATAACTTCTCATTCTGAGGATAGGAATCACGCGACCGGAAGTAAATTTTACATAGATATTTTACGTAAATGTAGACATTTGCAGTCTGAATAACATATCCAAAAATTATTACAAACTTTTTTTTATAAAAGAAAAATAGTTATGAAAAAGAAAAATACTCAGATTATGTAGTTTTTGTCTCATAACCGGAAGTTGTCGTTTTTGTTTGTAATGTAGACATTTGCAGTTTAAATAACATATCCAAAAATCATTACAAATACCTTATCTATAAAAAATATTTATGGGAAAGAAAAATACTCACATTATGTAGTTTTTGTCTCATAACCGGAAATTGTCGTTTTTCTTTCCGGTGGGATTTTTTTTTTTTTGAAACTACAAACAAGATGCTATAATGTGATGCAAAAAAAGGTTCACAAAAGAAAAGTTGAAATTTTCGAATTTTTTTTAATCACGCCCTGTGACGAGCGGACGTGACGGCGGACAATCGTAACCCAAATGGTTTTGCCTAGTTATCAACATTGGCCTGTATTGGCGCTTATAATAGTAGACCGATGCCTGCATTAGCCCTTGAGAAAGATTCACATTGCCTACATTGGCCCTTTTGATAGTCGTGCAACCTGCATTGGCCAACGATAAACACATTGCCATGAGAAATTGTCATGAAACACTGGCATTGGTTTTATAATAATAGTCATCAATGCATTGCAAGTTGATTACTTTCCTAGGTTTAAAATACATATTGTATTCCTTTAACGCCAAATTGCATTAGTCACTTACATTTAGATCAAATTCGATTGCATATATTATTAAGACAAAACACAAATCAGAATGAGGATATGGAGATAACAAACAGTATTCAACATCAAAGTCCATAAAACAATACAAAATAGGAGCAAGCACGGACCTCCAAATTATCCGAGGTGGGATCAGGTGCCACGGAGGAGTGTGCATCCCCTGCGAACCGGTCATACCCGCCATGTGCTCCTTATAATAATCGTGAAATAACGGAAAAATTCGTCGTCAATTAAGTGTATAAATAATGGACTAACAATTAGTATGAAAAACGTCAGTCAACATTTGACTCAATGATAAATTGTATTTGCTGACAGGGTCATTGTATCGACCATAGAACTTACGAAATGATCACTTTAAACGAGACTGCTGAGATAAAAATTACAAGAAATTGAATGGAAATCATGTCATTGTTCCCGTAAATACTTGTATCAGATGAATTTGGAAATAAGTGAATAAAACCGTACCATTTGTTTCGGACTAATTTTGTAATCATTTTCAACTTCTTTTATAAATCTATTGAATTATATCATCTTTGGTAATAGAAGTCAAAATGTCTTTCCAAATTGCCCATAACATCGAACTGAAATTTTAAAAAATAATGTAGACAAATTAAAATTAGTTGAGACTCCATTATTTATAGCTTTAAATACTTACACTCCCAGCAACTCAGAATTCAGCACACATGCCTCCTCGTATTTTCTATAATTGTTTTATTGGAGTGCATTATTCATATCGTTAAAATACATTAAAATATATACATAACTGTCTTAGTTTTCAAAGTATTTTATTGAATAATAGGAGAAATACGTCCTACAAGGTATTAAACAATGCGATTTCATCACTATTGCCTGTACATATCCGTGTGTTCAATTCCACACTCAGTGCTTATTTACATTTTAAATATTATTTGATGAAGTTATAGTCATTAAGTTTTAAACTGATCAAATAAAAGCACAAGTACAAGTGCGTGTTTTCAAAAACATTGATAGCAGCATAAATACATGATAAAGTAGGAACCAATTATACTTATCTTTATTCTACATTTTATTAAAGCTAAGGAAGTAATTATAATAGTCATTTAAACTTTCAGATATTTGCAACACAAATACATGCACCTTATCAAGAATTGTGATAACAAATAACAACGTTACGTGGGAACCTATTATACCTTCACTCATAATCTTTGTTATAGTCACTTTGTTTTGTTTTAAACTAAGGAAGCTACAGTAATTTAAACTTTCAGCCAATCAAATTACAGCAAACGTATATGCGCGTGTTGTCAATAACTTTATATATAGCATATTGTAGAGCCTTATGATATAATACATATACCTTAAAGTTGAAGTGTTTCGTCAAAATACAAGGGAGGTATTAAGATGTTTGTTTTAGCCAATCAGAGCGAAGTGCATGTGCGTGAATTCATCAAAATTCGATCATGTCAGCTTGTCTAGGCTACTTATTTATTTTTTTATATTACGAGTTTCGTGTAGTTTCTCAATAATTCTAAAAGAAACAGTTTTATCATGTATATCAGTCATTTCATTCATGCACGCATGTAGATGCATGTTGTAAATTTTAAGATAAAATAAAAGATATAATAAGTGAAATAAAATTTTACATCCATATTTATACTAGTAATTATTTGCTGTCAGTAGGTAATTTGCAAATTTAACATATGACACCGTTGTTTTCCAATGTACTCGATAAGAATTTTTATTGAGTACCTTATAGCCTCCTAGTTAAGGTCAAAGTTCAGTAAACGATAGGTGCCTAGCAGCCTTCAGATTTCTAAAAATTGAAGCACAGATTCTTCTATTGATCATCCTTTATACATGTAAAAGTAGCTTGGTAAAATTGAAATGTATTCGGACTTAATTTTTAGGTTCACTAAATGAAAATTCATATCTCTAAATGCCGTTTAAGATTTAAAAAGGACTTTTTATATTTAGGGGAGTTTTACAAGACATCAGACTCTCAGAAATCAGGTTTTCATATTTTCTTGACCTTTCTTTAAAATAATAATAACATTAACAAAGTGGGTAGCGGATTACGTTTGACAAAATCTTGAAGTGAATGCCAAGAAAATTCTTTATTTTCTACATAATTCTAATTCTGTCGTAAAGTATAAGGGGAAAATTAAGCTAAAATAATATCAGATTTTTTTTTAAAACTAAATGTTTAAATATGCATGGCATTCAATTCAAATATATGTCGAAAGTAAATCTGCTTCTTTATGTTCATGTTATTATCATTTTAAAGAAGAGGACAAGCTAGACGAAGATATGCATACATTTTTTGTGAGAGACGGTAGGCAATACATTTCCTGCGTTAAAAATTGAAAAAAAATAATTGATATTGATACAGGACATTCTTCTTTTTTAATTGACAATGGCAGATTGAAATAAGATTTTTCATTGAGTTTATCAACATTTTAAGTCCGGATACATCTTATTATATCAAGCTCCATGTACATTTATAGAGGATCATTAGAGGAAATCGTTTCTCAATTTCTAGAAATATGTAGGCACCTTACATTTACTAGATTTTGGACGAACCTCATTTAAGATGTAATATAAATATGTATTCAAAATGTATTCAATCGAATTTTCCAATTACATAAGTTGTGAAAGTATCATAAAGGAAATTTATAAACATTGAGAATCAAGAGCAGAAAAGATTTTCTGTCATTCAGTTATGAAATATACATGACTGTTTTTTTATAATATAGGCAAAGGTATCTGAATAATAAATTTACTCTGTTCGATAATATTTCTACATCACTATTTCTTCTAGGTCTGTGAAGGCGTACCTATTTTTGCAGCTTCTGTTGGATCATCATTAGGCAAATTTTTTATATTCTCGGTGATTTGGGTTTTTAGATCGCTCAACTCTATCCTGTATTTATTCATCTGGGCCTCCATCAGATTTAAATGAGAAAGGATAATTTTTTTGGCAGTAGAGTTTATGAAATACTCTAGATTCTCAGTATTTGTAAGAGGACATCTTTCCATCACACTATCTTCACTGAAGATATTTTGACCCGCCACTGCCAAAATTGACCATATCAGTGGTAGTACTACAAGTTTAGCTGTATCCATCTTGCAATCTATAAAGAAAGCGACAAATTATGAAAAAGTTTTTCGAAACATATTTTAAACAAGATGTGTACATGTTTGTGACACACTGATGTTTCTCACAAGAAATACAACTGTGAAATATGGAAATCCTAACACCACCTGTTCAAAAGTTATATTTGAAAGGTAGGTCAAAGTCCTAGGTCAAAGGGTCAAAGCTGTTGGTTTCAAAGGTCTTGTAAGAAGGATTATATTTGTGAAGTGTGAAAGTCCTATCCTTATCCGTTCAAAAGTTATGGCCAAGGCTAAATTTTAAACAAGAATAGATATGGGTTACCCCATATCCAAAGATATTCGACTTTTAGATTCAATATGTTTAACAGTGTTTAATGACGTTTATAAAAATAAAACTGCACTGTCTAGTTATAGAACTTGTGTGAATTTCGTGAGTCCGTAGCATTACGGTCACCCGTCTCCTAACCATGCTAACAAACAGTACACATACCTATGTCCGCAAGACAGTTAGCCTTGGTCTATACACACGTGCGATGGAGTTGTCAAACGGACTCCCGCGAACAGAGAAGTTACGATGGCAGACAGAACTTTTTTTTCATAATTAGATCACATGAATACAAATTCTGATTCATAAAAATTAAACGATTGTCAGTTTAGAAATCCCCGGCCAGTTCGGGTTTTGTTACACATTTTACAGGTACTCTCCCGATGTGTAGTTTGTCTACACACGTGCAGGAGTCTGCTCAGGGATTGAAAATTCCGTCATTTAATATACTACACACACAGAATGATTATTTTTTTTTCTCTTAGAGGAAACTATATGATAATTAACGAACAATTAACATGATTTTACTACAGTTGTTGATATAGTATAATCAATTCATCAGTGAAAAAATATCAACCGAAGAATGACCTAGATATTCTCTGTTATCAAACATGTTAAAAAAAAGCTGAGGAGGGAGCGAGCGTAGGAATATTCACATTTTTTATTTGCATTTAGGGGGGAAAGTGATCTTTGGAGGAAAAATTAACATTAATTTTGGTTTCTTTAACGAATGACATACACAACATTATTCTTATCATGAATTTAACAATTATGTTGTATCTACTTATTAATGATGGAACTATTTTCGTCGGAACAATTTGTGTGAGTCGCCGCTGACTACAGTAATATATCTTGAACTAATAGTATGCACTGATCGAATATATTAAAAAGGAGGTCAAACTCCAATGTCAAAGGGTCAGATTTCGGCAAATCAAATGAAAGGTCACAAGGATTAAATATATGAAGTATGAAAGCCCTAACACTTGTCGATCAAAAGTTATGGCAAAGGTTTTTTTATAAGTACGAAAATCTTCATGGTTAATGTCAAAAGGTCAATCTTTTCACAAAGAATACACATTTGAAGTATGAAAGTCCTAGCATCTACCATTGAAATGTTATGCGTTAAGTAAAAGTTTGGAATTTTTGTGTAAAAGTCTCTCAAACTCCAAAGTCAAGGTCAACAGGTCAAATTTGGTGATATCAAAAGAAAGATCTTGTCCAACGGGATACACATGTGAGCAGCAACTTTGTGGAATAGTTTACCGGATGCTCTCCGTTTCCAGACGTCACTTTTAACTTTTAAACGGGATCTTAGGACTCATATTTTGAAGATAGCATAGTGTAATTTTTATTTGGAACAATTTATCGAGTTTTATTGTCCTCAGACTTTTTATTTTGGCAAAACCTGTATTGTGTGAAATTTTTAAGTTGACCTTAACTTGATCTTAGTTTTGCACCTTATAATTTTAGCTTACTCTTATGTTAGTAACGATCTCGTACTATAATTTTAAGTTTTAGGTTTTTATGATTATTGTCTCTTTTTTAACTACTTGTATATCTGAGACACTGTCTGTTCAGCGCCTTAGAGTAATTTATTTTAAATAGGGCGCTATACAAATGTTATTATTATTATTATTATTATTAAATATGAAAGTCATAACTCAACTAGATCGAAAGTTAAGGACATACTGGGTTAAAGTCATATATGGCGTATTTTTGATAAATTCATACTTACTAAAGTTAAAAGATCTTTCATTTTGTTTGGTACTTTAGATAAAGATAGGGCTTTCCTGTAAATTACACAATTTAAATCAATCGCATTTCAAAGATATCACAGATTTAAAACAAGATCCGATTTCTTTCCGACTCGGAATTAAATCAACAGACACAGTTTAACATCAGTATAACTATAGAAACGTGGAGAGAAAGTTCAAAATCGGTGTAAATTTGAATTTGAATGTAAATAACAAATACCATGTACCACGGTATATCTGCACCTTATCTCGGATTTTAATTTTTTTTAGCTCAGTTGCGCCATATACAGCTTTAAAGTTTATTGCAGACTGACAGACAAACCGACAGATAGATAGACAGATAAATAGATAGATAGACAGACAAACAGACGGAACGACACGACGAAAAATATATACCGTCGAATCTTCGATTACGAAGGCATAAAAATACTAACAAAGTTCAACACTTTAATAGAAATTGAAGTTGATAATAACAAGAAAAATTATTGTTTGACCGACAATAAACCAGATTTTCCTATTATTTTTAAGCCCCTGTAATCGAAGATTCGTTTGTTCGCAAAGACTTGAACCTTGTCCGTACCTTTGATTTAGTGGAGCTAAGACTTTCATGTTTCACATGTGTATTCACAAATACATCTTGATTTCTTAAGTGTCATTAAAACTATTGTGTCAGTGACTGTACTGAACCCCCAGGGGTATTAATTTGAAGAAACTTAAATCTTGACTACTTCAGCACATCTGTTAGGATACTTCTATGACTGGGCAGATTTGAATTTAAATACTATATGGCTTGGGGATAGTGCCAAAATAATAAGACTTATCATGGGTTTGCCGTCCTCCAGAAGATGAAGTTGATTAGACTGAAGTCTTGTTAAAATGAAATCTATTAGTATCATTTTTTTCAGCTCAGTTTAGAAAAAAATGCTCAGTGTACACCTGGAAATGGGTGCGCAGTCGAACATACAGTAGTATTTTTCTACATCAGGAGTTATATGATTATATGTTGACTTCGTTTGTCTGGGTTTTAGGCTTGAAATATGAGATATTCAAGTTTCTTTTGTGAAACTTTATACTGGTTTAAAGTCGTATCAAATATTATATATTTTATATTACTTTGTCACATTCTAAGGTTGGCAAAGGGAAGGATTTCATAATAGCCGAACTCTTGAAAAGATTAAGCTTCTATATTCGGCTTTGTTTTTAATAAATTCTGAATGTTTTGTGCATAAAATCTAAATATTAAAAATCTAAATCATATTAAAAAATAAATGCATGATGATATCGTATTTATTGTTTTCCAAAAGGTGACGTTCTTTGAGCACTTTTTAGCCAAATACGATATAAAGTTATAAAAAAAAAAAAACAAGATATGTTTGTGAAACACTGATGCCCCCGTATGGCAACAGAATGAAAATTAATCTTTTCTTAAATGGAAATTAAATTTCTTGCTACCCAAGTTAAAGTCTTTTCACTGAAAATACAGTTGTGAAATACGAAAGCCCTAGCACCGCCTGTTTAAAACTTATGGTCAAGGATGAGATTTTGAAAGGTAGGTCAAACTCAAAAGGTCCAAGGGCCAAAGTTGTTGATGTCGTAGGAAAGGTCTAATGTCACAATGATCACATGTGTGAAGTATGGAAACCATGGCCCTAACCATTCCAAAGTTATGACCAGGGTTAAAACTTTTAAAAACTAGGTCGAATTTTAAGGTCAAGGTTGACTCAAAGTTCTTGATATCAGATGAAAGGTCTTGTCACAAGGATTAAATATGTGTAGTATGAAGCATTAGCCCCGACCTTTCAAAAGTTTTGGTCAAGGTTTGTCTTTTAAAAAGTAGGTCAAACGTCAAGGTCAAAGAATCAAGGTTCTTCATATCCAGTGAAGAGATTCTCACAAGGATTACATATGTGAAGTATAAAAGCGCTAGCCTTACCGTTCAAAAGTTATGGCCAAGGTTAATTTTTTCATAAGCATAAAAATCTCCAAGGTCAAATGGACTTAATTATTGGTATCCAATGAAAGGTCTTGCCAAAATAAATACATATGTGAAGTATGGTTTTTCTAACCCTAACCGTTCAAAAGTTATGGCCATGGTTAAACATTTTAAAAAGTAGGCAAACTCCAAGGCATGTTTGTCCGCAAAAACATGAACAATGTCCATAACTTTTGATTAAGTAGAATTATGACTTTCATATTTCACTTGTGTATTCCCTGTGACAAGACCTTTCTCTGGAAACCACCAAAATTGACCTTGAGCCGTGAGTTTGACCAATTTTTCAACAAAAATTCCAATCTTTTACTTTGGCCATAACTTTTGAACGATGGATACCATGACGTTTATGCTTCAGGTATGTATTTTTAATGGGAAGACCTTTCATTGGATACCAATAACCTTGACCTTTGAAATTTCCGTATATATGAAAGAAAACTTTATCCTTGGCTATAACTTTTGAACGGTGCAAGAACTTTGACATTTTGATCTTGATCTTGGAGTTTGACCTAGTTTCTAAAAAAAATTAACCTTGGCCATTAAATTTGAGCGGTAAGGGCTAGGCCTTCCATACTTTACACATGATATCCTTGTGAATTTAGACTTTTCTTAAGAAACTAACAACTTAAACTTGAGAGTTTGACCTTCGTTTTGTTGCCATGCGGGGGCATCAGTGTATCACAATCATATCTTGTAATTTTATATGTTATTGTGAACAAATTTAATACATTTTTTTTTAAAAGAAACTGCTCATAATCAAAGATGGAAACAAAATTTTAATAATTTTTTCAGAACTATTATCTTGTTTACATTCATGTCTCTTCTTAAAATTATAACAATTAAGTTAGCATAGGTTTTGAAGTAATATTACTACCAGGTATGTAATGAAGAAGTTTTCAGGGATGTTTTGATTTCCATTCACATTAAATATGCCTTCTTCCTACTTTT